GGTCGGCAAAACAAGACGGTTCTTTATTTTCCTCTTGGCATCTCCCAGCTCCATCGATGATGTCGTCGTGTCTCTCACCACCGGCTTCTTGACTCCACCATCAGCACCCAAACCCACCCTCTCTGGGCCTTGTTCAGTGGCTAGAGCAATTGCTGTAAGTATATGATGATGAAAAGGGAACATGTTTTGCGTGGATTTGCTTGCATTCGAATGCCCAGGCGAACGATTTGGGGGGGGGGGGGGGGAGAAGAAGCAGGAAGGACTGTTCATTTCAGCCATAGATTTCCTACCCACCCCAATGTCTCCCTTTTCTTCCAGATGCTGCTGTGCAGGTGTAATGGGGTGGGATGTGAGTTAGTCTTCTAGGGGGTGCCCAGAGCTTTGGGTCTGTTTGACTAAGGTACATTTTGGTGCAAATCCTTAGCCTTTTCTGGTGGGTTTCATAGGGCCTCCCCCCACCCCTCTGATCCAGTGTGTGTATATGTGAATGAGTGACTGGGTGAGAGAGACAGAATATGGCCCAGAGGTTTCCAGATGTGCCTTAAGATTGCTTTACATCTCCAGTGGTGAACCCTAGAATGACAAAAGGAAACGAGGCTCCTCATGCTTTCGGTGGTGGCCAGCAACAGGTGGTGTTGACCGGCCCTTACTGCCCTGGCTGACCACAGTTGACCATTGCCCGCTTTTGAGTTGTGAAACGCTGCATGCCTGCCGAGGGCCACTTTGATGTTTTTCTTAATGAGGAAAGACTCCGTTGCTCCAGTAACTGCAGAAAAGCTGTGTTGCCAAATTTCTCACTGGACATTTCCTTCGGAAGGACCGGCTCTGCCGTCAGGCAGATGGAATAATCTGCTTTAGGAACACTTGACTTTTGAAGCTCATGAAGGGGAACTGATTTTCTTAGTTATTGAAATTATTGTGGTTGTGTTTTCTTCAATAAGGAGGGGGGAAGAGGAATTGGTGGCTTTCTTATTGCTATTGTTTTAGATGTAGGTGAAAAAATAACTTGGTGGGCTTTTGCATTCGAAATGCACCTGGATCCAGATGTGTAGTCAGAGTCGAGTCCTTGAAACCACTGGGGCTTCAGATGGTCTAGAGAGTTTGTAGGGGAGATTTACTCCTTAAGACTTCCTTCTCCCGGAGAGGTTGGGCCTTTGAGAGTAACATTTGGACGTTTGCTAATTAAATGTTTATGTCTTGATTACTTTTCTGGTCCACTTTTCCTCTCAAGGTGATTGATGTACATGGTTCTTCTTACTCTTCACCTTATCCTCGCAACAACTCCATGAAGTAGATGGTGAAAAAGAAAGAGCTCGATACAACATCAGCAAGTGAGATTCATGACTTAATGGGGATTATAACATGGACAGGGACGTGGTGGCGCTGTGGGTTAAACCACAGAAGCCTCTGGGCTGCAGGGTCAGAAGACCAAGCAGTCGTAAGATCGAATCCACGTGACGGAGGGAGCTCCTGTTGCTTGTCCCAGCTCCTGCCAACCTAGTAGTTCGAAAGCATGCAAATGCAAGTAGATAAATAGGTACCACTTTGGTGGGAAGGTAATGGCGTTCTGTGCCTAGTCGCGCTGGCCACGTGACCATGGAAACTTGTCTACAGACAAACGCTGGCTCTACGGCTTGGAGATGGGGATGAGCAACACCCTAGAGTTGGACACGGCTGGACTAAATTTCAAGGGGAACCTTTACCTTTACTTAACATGGCCCATTGCAAGGTGTGAAAAGGTGGCTGCAAAGGTGTGCCTCTGATCACACCGGAAGGAGGTGTTTTAATGGAAATAATCTCCCTTTAAGCAACACCTCCATCTTCTGGGAAATAGTAGCCGTACAGCTGGACTAAAAAGGCCCAGCATGGGCACCATCCAGGGTTACGCTGGAGTGCATTTCCCTGAATGTCATGTTATAGATTGCACCAGACCAGTCCAAATTATGATTTATTTCCATGTATGATCACACCCTAAGTTTTAATACTTTAGCCACCATATCCGACCGGTTCCCTACAGAGACAAGAACAGTGGCCAGTGGAGATGTAAATGGTTGCTTGGGTCATTCTGACATGTTAGCACAAAAAGCCCTCGCATTTTCCTCTTAAATGGCAAGAATTTGTGTGTGCTTTTTGTTAGTTGCAGAGAGAATATGTGCATTCACAAGGCTTATTTGGGCACGTTGTACATTTAGATTTTGGGCATTGCTAGAAATCGAGGGGTCCAAACAAGCACTAAGAGCAGCATCTCATTGGATGCTTTACTTGGTCAAAATGTGAAGATGCAACGAAAGTCCAATTCTTTGTGCCTCTTCTAAGAATTTTTAAAACTGAAAATACACCATTGAGAAAGTAAGTAGAAAAAGGCATGAACTGGATTGACTTCTTTGGTTACAATTTCCGCTGAAACTGGTTGATAGGCGTTCTACAGCAATTTTTCAGACAAAAATGGACCTTCTCAAAATACCTCATTTCTCCCATGAAGGAGTGCTGCTATCACCTCATCATCTTTCTAGTTCAGCAGTAGCCAAACTGCATTGAATCGACTGTTGTTGGCCTGCAACTCTCACCATCATCATCATCTTAGAACTGCAAAGCTAGAAGGGATCCTATAGATCATCAAGTCTAGCCCCTGTCAAGTAGGAAAAGTGGGGAATCAAACTCGCAACTTCTGGCTCTCCAGCCAGATGCCTAAACACCATACCTTACCATTGGTCACGATGACTGCTGGAGGGTGAACGCCTATAAATGCAGTGGGAAACAGGGAATCAGAAATATTCTCCATACCTCCTCTGACTGCTCTACATGTTTCAGGTTCTATTCTTTATCCTGCATGTGCCACATCCTTTTATTTTTCACTGCAGTGACCTGTTTTCTACCATATCAAAAGCTGGGAAGGGTGGCAGCAGCTAAAAATATGCAAGTACAACACAAATGTCTTATAATAGGTTGCTCATCCTACAGAATATACTTCAGTAGATTCACCATATGTGATGAACCCAGGGTGATTTACTGGGTGTGGATCTTATTACTCCTGCACAGGGACCGATGTGGAAAGGTCACACATTAGCTTCCTGTCTGGGAAGAGTGTGGAAAACTGAAAAATGACAATTCTGCCAATTTGAATTACATGTTTTCGAAAAGAAAATCACTTCTTAAAGAGAAAAGTGGCAACAAAAAAGTTTACAGGGGCTAGGAGACCAGAAAATAACAGATGATATCTGAGGGAGATCAACAGCTAGAGTGTGCGTGATTTGGCAAGAAAGGTCTATACTATTGTGATAGTGCAAGTATTTGAAGATAGTGGTGGGGGAATTTCATGCCCTCCGGCACCAACTGGTGCTGTTCTTAATCACTGGTTGTGAGCTTGTGACAGCTAAGGTTGATGGCAATTTCTGGATATCTCAGTAGCTTAGGTATTTGGCTGTGGAACCAGAGGTTGTGAGTTTGATTCCCCACAGTGATAAATTGTTTTGCGAGGTAATCGTTTAGCGAGGCACCACTGTATTGTGATAGTGTAAGTATTTGGCCTTAGTGGTGGGGGAATTTCATGCCCTCTGACACCAACTGGTGCTGTTCTTAATCACTGGTTGTGAGCTTGTGACAGCTAAGGTTGATGGCAATTTCTGGATATCTCAGTAGCTTAGGTATTTGGCTGTGGAACCAGAGGTTTTGTGATAGTGTAAGTATTTGGCCTTAGTGGTGGGGGAATTTCATGCCCTCTGACACCAACTGGTGCTGTTCTTAATCACTGGTTGTGAGCTTGTGACAGTTAAGGTTGATGGGAATTTCTGGCTATCTCAGTAGCTTAGGTATTTGGCTGTGGAACCAGAGGTTGTGAGTTCGATTCCCCACAGTGCCTCCTTGATAAGAACTGGACTCCGTGATCCATAGTGTCCTTTCCAGCTCTGCAGTTCTAAAACTATTATTATAACATCTGGAGGCCACAAATTGCCGAACCTTGGCTTAGCTAAAAGACTAAGATTAAACCTCATTTCATGGGGCCATCTTGCTGCAGAATTCTATACAGATCTGTTGAGGAGTAATTCCCACCAAATTCAATGAAGTTAATTCACAGATATGGGCATAAGTGGACTTCAGCCCCAAAAGGAATCCAGCCACTCAGTTTTGTAGCCGTTATCTCTGGCAACGGGAGGCGTTTTAAATGATGCTCTACCACATCCCATCTCACAATGAACCAGTGGCACACTCCCCAGGGCCACAGGGTTGTCACCTTGTGTCTCAAAATATCGAGAGTTGCCTGGGGTGGACATTCTATCTGAACACAAATGTGCAGAAAATGGAAGGAGAGAACACCATAAACTCTGTGCTCTTGTTCATAGGACAGTAAAATGGTCGCATATAGGAAGTGTGTGTGTGTGTGTGTGTGTGTGTGTGTGAGAGAGAGAGAGAGAGAGAGAGAGAGAGAGAAGGAATGATTCCACACACACCAATTTCAATAGGACAGATTTTTCCTACTTCAGAACTCTGTGGGTAACTTTGGATCACAACTTCCATCATCCCAGCTATCTTGGCTGGGACTGGTGGAAGCTGAGTGGGAGGTCTGGGACAGCTGCATTCCGATAGGATCTATTTTTATGTATGATATTTGTAAGACGCCCCGAGTAAATATTTATTTATTTATAAATATTTATCAATCAATCAATCAATCAATTCATGGAACTGAGAACCTAAACTTTATTTAACGTGCCGGTTTTGAATCAGTCTTGTGGACCCCGCCGACTTGAAATCAAAGGGGTTTAGGGAATCTGGTGGTGAAGCCAGAGGTCGAGGGTTCGATTCCCCTCCATGCCTCCTTGACAGGGGCTGGACTTGATGATCTGGAGGGGCCCCTTTTTTGCATTTCGAAGACCTCAAGATGATTTGGGTTGTGTGAAAGGCTCCTTCTCTGGGCCAACGGAAACGGGGGACATTTCTCTTTTGTGTCTTGCCGGAAAGGAAGCAAGCCCTTTCCACCAGAAGCAAGAGGGGACTTTCCTGCCTCCGCCTCACACCTTGTGTTTTACTACGTTTAGTCGAAGCACCTTAAAACCATCTTGTGTTTTCCCTCCCTTTTTCCCCGCCCCACCCCCCTCCCCGTGCTTTTTTCAGGCGGCTGAGGAGAGCCCTGACGTCATCCCGCCTCGCGCCCGGCCTTCCTGAGGAGGAGGAGGAGGAGGCGGCGGCGACGGGATTCGGTTGCCGGGGCAACGGGAGGAGAGGCTCTCCCCTCAGCCCGGAGACCGAGGCCTTCCCCCCCTCGTCGCGCCGCCAGGATGAGGCCCGCCTCGCCCCTTCCCGGCCGGCTGGTGGTGGTGCTGGAGGCGGCGGCGGCGGCGGCGGCGTGGAGGGGAGAGGCCTAGCCCCGAGGGGAGGCGTGCCTGGGGACCAGCGGCGCAAATGGTGAGCCGGCCGGGAAGGCCCTGCCCCGGTCGGGGGTGGGGGGAAAAATAGAGTCCGAGGAGCATCCTTTCCCTCAAGGGAGGGAGGGGAGAGAGGGCCGGTGGGGGCCCCGATCCAGACACCCCCCCCCGAAGGCCGACACATTTGGGCGAACGAACGCTCAGGGGTTCGGGTCCCCAGTCGGCAGAGTTGGGAGTTCGATCCCCCACCTGGGGGCCACTCGGTCCCTTTCGTTTCTGCCTTTCTAAGGGAATCAGAGATCAGACTGCAACAAAATGTTGCTGTGTGAAGTGCTTCTGTCCCCCCCCCCCGGTGGGGAGGGGGGATTAACTGGGGGCTGCAATGATGGGACACTTCCCCTTTGCATTTGTCCCTAAAGGACTTCCTCCACTGGCCCTACCTGTTGGTTCTTCAGCACAATGATTTTATTTTTTTTATTTATTTGATTTGTATCCCGCCCATCTGGTCTATACGACCACTCTAGGCGGCTTCTGTTAGTCTTCTGTTTTGTTTAGTCTTCTGTTGTGTTTAGTCGGTGGTGCTTAGTCTTCAGGTTGTGTTTAGCTTCTTTTGCTTCACAGTCCCCCCACATGCACCCCCAGATGCTTTGCACATGACTTAAGTGTGGGATCTGGTGGTCTGTGTTTTCGCTGCACGGGCCGTATGATGTTAAGAAATCGGCGTTTGGACACCTGTAGGAAAGAAAAAAATTAATAGCAACCCCTGTGAATTAGAGTGCACAGGTTGTAAAACATTTGCAAAACTTATGGGTCCCCAGAGTTTGTTGTGCATGGCTGGCGCTCCTTTGGGCCACACAGGAATCCTCACTGGCCACTGGAATCTGAGAAAGAAGGGAAAGATGATTATTTACCCTGAGTGTATTGTCCAGAGTAACAACAAGGCAGGTCTCTGCCCTGAAATGAGTACAGTGGAACCCTAAACTCAGAAAATACAGGGCAGAAAAGGGAGGAAGCTAGAAGAGGGGAAAGAAAAATGATAAACTAAGAAATGTATCTTAGCATATGTAATCCTGAAAGATATCGAATAATTTAATGTGGCTCCCAGCCCTTCCACAGTAAGGACTAGCAACTTACCTTTTATTTCTGTTTTTTTTTTTAAAAGAAGGAAATCTAAGAATCTTGGGACATAATGGTGAAGCACTAAATTCTGGGACTGACGGTCTGCAGCCATGGCTATATTAATATGTAGACCTCTCCTAGCTCCAGTCTGATAAGCTTTCTATCATTTAGGACATCAAAGGCCAGTACTGGACCGATGATGATTCCGATGGAGAAAATGAGTCGGAGGAGTTTTTATACGGAGTACAGGTGAGACTACCGGCTGGGTTGTGCTAGACATTTCTATGGATTTAGTTGAGGCTACCATCTGGGTTGTGAGGGATAATTCCAAAGAGATAGCGGAACTAGGTCTTGCATGGATGATGTGCCAGGACTTTTTGCTTAACAGAGATGATGATGCCATTTTGGGACTTTCTTTGAGGGTGGCAGCAGCAGGGGCTGTCCTGATGAATGACTCTCCAAATCCACTGCTTCGCCACTGGAGGCTTCTGTCATGAGGTTGTCCGGAAGCACTGACTGCATCTTCTGCTGTCGTTTCATCCTGTCTCTCCTCATCACAGGGGACCTGTGCGGCAGACCTGTACCGTCACCCGCAGTTGGATGCGGACATTGAGGCTGTGAAGGAGCTCTACAGCGAGAATTCTGTGTTCGTCCGGTGAGTATTGCCATTTAGATGCCTGCTAAAAGAGGGATCCAGAGTCAATGCTGGTTGAGGGCGGCAACGACTACATTGACAAAGTACGGGAATTGCTCCAGGATTGCTATCCTTAGATTTATTGCATTTTTCATAGACCACATGATGTACAGCTCAGTGTGAATCGGCCCATATGTTTTTCTTCCTTATCTACAATTTTTTCCTTCGTCGCTGGGGCTTCTACTTTTTCGCGAGCTAATGTATTTGCATCAGTTCAGAAGGGTGTGATTACCTGTGTCGAGGTCGAAAAGCAATTAAGGCATGTGCTGGGATCATTCAAAGTGCTGAAGGGTGGTGTTGAGGAGGCTTGTGGTGCAGTGGTTAAACTGCAGTACTGCAGTGAAGACTGCTCACAACCTGAGTTCAATTCCAAAGCGTTCATGTAGCTGGCTCAAGACTGACTCAGTCTTCCATCCTTCTGAGGTTGCTAAATTGAGTACCCAGCTTGTGGTGGGGAGGGGCAATGTGTAGCCTGCATAATTATATTGTAAACCACCCAGAGAATGCCTTCAGCACTGTGGGCCAGTATCTAAGAAGCACACACTTTGAAGGTGATGTTTTAAGTGGGACATTTCTCTGTGACTGTGGGGACACCCACCCCCAATAGCTCTCTCCTTTTCACGTACAGTGATGCGATCGCTTGAAGTGATTTCTTCGCTATGCGGAGCGATCGCTAAGCGAGGCACCACTGTATTTTATTTTTCTATTTTTTGTTTATTTGTTTGAATTACCTACCCTAGCACCCGGTTAACTGGGTGCTGCAATGATGGGACACTTCCTTGGCATTTGTCCCTAAATTACTTCTTCCACTGGCCATACTTGTTTGTTCTTCAGCACAATTAGTCTTCCATTACGTTTAGCTTCTTTTGCTTCACAGCCCCCACATGCAACCAGATGCTTTGCACATGACTTTAAGTGCAGGATCTGGTGGTCTGTGTTTTCACCACACCAGGCGTATGATTTTAAGAAATCAGCATTTGGACACCTGTAGGAAAGAAAAAAATTAATAGCAACCCCTATGAATCAGAGTGGGCAGGGGATTGTGTTTGCACTGTGTGTGTGTGTTTGTGTTTTGCAAAATCAATCAGTGCTGGTTGGGGAATAAGAACAAACTGGCAAAAGGTGGTTCACAGCAAAGATGAAACAGAGGAGGTGCAGGAAAGACAGAGAAGAAGGCATTAATAACGACAGACCTGGAAGAGGGGGTTTGATGCCACATATTGAACCACAGCACACTGATGTGCAGTGGGTAGGTGGCTGATATTGACCGGGAAGGTGTCATGTGGGAAGAAGGAGGGATACAATCTTCTACCACACGTTGCATCCCGATATTATAATAATATTAAAACGATGCCAATAGCAGCAACAATACATTTTAATTGCTCACTTAGCCATGTTTCAGTTACTTAAGCACCATGCTCAAAATGTGTCTGTCTGCTTTTCAAGATGATGCACAGTAGTGTGTTTTTGCTCCCTTTTCAGATGAGTGCCAGTGGCCAGGCACATTTTCCACCACCCCCCTTCCAAGAACCTATTGGAAGCTTTCAAAGCAGGGTGGGTCAAAATCCACGAGTTTTTTAAAAAAATCGAATCGATTTGATTTAAATCAAACCCACCCTGTTTCAAAGGAATAGCTCTCTAATTGCAAATTGAGTTGGTGTCAGTATTTGGGTCTGGGGAGGTGCCATCTTTCTGGAGAAGCAAACCTTGCTGGAGTGACTTCCTTTAGGCCAGCATTAAATTCAGGGGTGTTTGCTTCCAAATGCATAAGCTTAACCACTTCAGGCTTTCCCAACAGATCTTCGCTTGGCCAAAATGCACTGAGCCCCTTTCTGACAAGAGAGAGTGTGATTTACTTTGGAGTCAGAGAGCTCAGGAAGTCATGCATGCGGTTGAGTGGAAAGATGCCCAGAGTGCTCTGGCCAGAGGGCAGCCTTCTATTCCCCATCTAAATATAGTTACACTGAAAAAGCCCTTCCGTCATATTTGGGAGCTTTCAAGAGCTTTTATCTGTCCTTGAAAAAGCCAGGCCTTTACAGATTCTCACTGCATGAACTGGGACGATGCAAACCGCCATGCTGCCCTCGCTAGAGGCAATCATCTTGAAGAAGGCTACTATTTTAGGGGTCAATCAGCTCAAGTCACAAGGCCCATCCAGGTGGGCCAAAGTTGTGCTGAAAGTACTACTGCATTCCGTGTGGCTGGTTTTGGTGTTAAACATGCAAAGCATTGACCTCATGTGATTCGTGCTTTCTCCTTCCCTTTTTGTGCTTTTTAAATTTTCAGCCCAAAGGCCAGTGTAGTTTGGTGTGATTTTTTTTTGGTAGGGCGGAAATTAGCGCTATGCCACTTTCAGTGAACAGTTCATTTCCCCTCCATAGGCTTCTAGTTAGAAGGATTTAATTGGGTTTTTAATTTAAGTTTGGAGTAGGGGGGAGGAGGGAGAAACAAAATCTGAAAGTAAGCTCTGCCAGCGAATTGGTCTTATAAAGGTTTCTTTTGGAAACGAGTGGTTTTTGAAAACAGGCCTCCTGCAGTGCATTCCAGATGGAAATCCATGCAAACCCTCGTTAAGAACAGTGACCAGCTATCACCAGCTGGGGCACAGATCGGCCTCTCTAGAGAAGCCCTTAGTTTAGAGCTAAGCCGTTGCAGAAGTGAGAAAGGTTTTGACTTTTAGATTGCCATTTCTAGAATTCCTCAAGCAGCATGGCCAACAGGCATACCGGATGTGGCATTTTGCAAGCAGGCGGCCAGAAAGTCACCAACATCTCTGAAGGATCCTAGGAAAGGACCAAGAGGGACTTTGGATTGGTCTTGCACTGCTTGGCATCTAGGCAGGAAGAGGAGGAGGACAGAGCATACGTTTTCATGGACTCCAGCCAACTTCCTCGGATCCAATGAGGACTGTAGCCTGCTTCTGAAGAAGTAGGCTATTGCCATCCGTGAAAGCTTATGCCAATTAAAACATGCTAGTGTTTAAGGTTTCCTGAGGCCCTTTGTTGTTTTTGCTGCAGCAGACTTAAAACTGTCAAACTCCTTGAAAACTGACTCGCTCAAGAGAGGGTTGTGGCACCCGATGCAGGAAGAGGGAGCTCAATAAGAGGGATGTGTGTTGAGAGTGGAGTTTATTGTCATCAGTCAGTCATTACCCCATTTGGTCCTTTGCTGTTCCTTCCTCACACAGGATTTTCACTAACCCTCCTATTTTCTTCCATAGAGAATATGGGACCATTGATGATGTGGATATCGATCTGCATATCAACATCGGCTTTCTAGATGTAAGTCGGAGATGGAAGTTGTGTGTGAATCATAGCAGCCCCAAAGGGGGGGGGGTTGCATGGAAAGCTGTAGGCCATGTTTGGTTTTGTCTGGACATATTGAGGTCTAGAAGCTTGAAAGATACCCAACTAGGAAGGTTCATTGTTTCGGATTGTCAGTAGAGAACTCTTGTGTTTCTTTTGCATTTATTACAGCGTAGTAGTTGTGCTGGAGAACACACTAGCAGTATTAGTAGGACCTTAGGACCTCTATATCCATGGGATCAGTATCCACTGATTCACCTATTATGGTCTGAAAATATTGAAAGGATAATTCTAGAAATATGTATTTCTAAAGGCAGAGTTAGCAGAACTGGCCACTAGAGGGAGCCAGAGACCATGCTATCTCTATAGCATTTGCTATTAAAATAGCTTTCACTATAATCTGTGTTTTTCAGCATCCGTGGGGGGGGGGGCTTGAAACTAATTCCCTATGGATACAGGAGGCCTTCTGTAGTCATTAATCATCATAATACTTGAAACTAATTCCCCATGGATACAGGGGGCCTTCTGTAGTCATTAATCATCATAATAATATGGATAATAATTTTTCCTGTCTCTTAGAACTACTGCCCCAAATTTGCCACTCCGTCTCAAAATTGGATTGTCAAAAATAAACACATGGGATGTTTTACACCCTGTTTGTCTGATTAAACCTGTTTCCTCTAACTCTGGTAGCTTTCAAATGTGTTGCATAGCCATGGCTATCAACGGGACCATGTTGTGCAGGAATGATGATGTGATCTGTATTCCAGAGTTTGCCAGACTGGGGAAGGTTAGATTCACAAAGTAGTAATAGAGCCCCACAGATCAAATGAGGGGAGGGCCATGTCAGGCCAGGATGTTTTGCTGCCTGAAGTGAAGTATGGATCTTGGTTTCTTCCACTTCTAGGCTTTGGTCCTCCTTCTCCTTCTCTTTCTTTTTTCTTTGGTGTCTGAGGTCCAGCCTGATGGTTGATGATAGTCTGGTTCCCATTGCAGGAGGAAGTGGCAACAGCGTGGAAGGTCTTACGGGCCGAGCCCATTGTCCTCCGGCTGCGGTTCTCCCTTTCGCAGTACCTGGATGGCCCCGGTGAGTGGCATATCGGCTCGTCAGCCGTGATGGGGAATTGAAGAAGAGCACGCCCAACAGACGTCTATGGCCAGATGAAATTAGCCCCTCTTCCCCAACCTCATGCCTCCTACCACTTGTTCTGGACTACAACTCCCACAATCCATGTGGGTGGGGGGATGATGGGATTTGCCACCTTGCCTATCACGGAGGTGTCAGGTCAAGGAAAAGCTCTGGGTTCTATCCCTACTAACAAATGCCTGGTTTTTGTTCCCCAGAACCATCGATTGAGGTTTTCCAGCCATCCAATAAGGAAGGGTTTGGACTGGGCCTACAGCTGAAGAAGTGAGTAAGACCTCCACGAGGTTCAAAAGGTTGGACTGCGGGCAAGGCTGGTTTATATAGGACCAAGCACTGGCTATAGTCACCCATCCCCATGTATTTATTTATGGAAGCAGCCATTATGAGGTTGTGGTTGCCTCTTAGGAAACCTGGGCTCAAATCATCGCTGTGCCATGAAATACAGACCTAGGACCTATCATCCTCTCTTAGCCCGACTTATCCACAGGGGTGTTATAAGGATAAAGTGGACAGGAAGGGAGCTGTCTGTGCTCAGTGGAGAAAATGTAGGGTGTAAACACTATAAATAAATATATATGTCCAGGTTTAAAGTGCTTTCATTCTTTCAGATACCGCAGCCCACGCACAAGTATAACTAAAACAATGCAGAATGTCATAAAAATACCCCAAATGGGTTAATAATCATCATGTGTCGCTTTTGATGAATCCCAACTCTTTTCAGGGTTTTCCAGGAAGGGATTACAGTGGTGCCTCACTAGACAGTTACCTCGCATGACAGTTTTTTTGCTAGACATTGGCTTTTTGCGATCGCTATAGCGATTCGCAAAACAGTGATTCTCACGGGGGAATTTCGCTGGACAATGTTTGGTCCGTGCTTCGCAAACTGATTTTCGCTAGACGATGATTTTGGCAGCTCCCTCCGCCCTTGCAAACAGGTGTTTTCAGGACCTAAGCTTCGCAAGACAGCAATTTAAACAGCTGATCGGCAGTTTGCAAAGCGGCTTCCCTATGGCCAATCTTTGCTAGACGATTCTTCCCCATTGGAATGCATTAAACAGGTTTCAATGCATTGCAATAGGGACGTGCCTTTCGTTAGACAATTCATGTGTTGTCAAGTCGCTTTTGACGAATGGCAACTCTTTTCAGGGTTTTCCAGGAAGAGATTACATGGAAGTGGTTTATAATTCCTTTCTTCTGAGGCTGTGCAGCTGGCCCAAGGCGTGCCTTTCGTTAGACAATGATTTAGCTAAACAGCGATTTCAGTGGAACGGATTATCATTGTCTAGCGAGGCACCACTGTACATAGAAGTGGTTTGTAATTCCTTTCTTCTGAGGCTGTGCAGCTGGCCCAAGGCTACCCAGACTGGCTCAACTTACAAGAGGCCCAGTGGGGAATGGAACTCCCAACCCCTGACTCCAGATGCCTAAACCAGCAAGCTGTCCAGCCACATGGGTTACCATCATAAAAAACAGAGAAGGCAACAACATATCCATATTTGGATGGGCTTATTGCCCAGTATATTTATTATTATTTTATATGCCACTCGGGCAAGAACGGCACAAAAGAGGAACTAATTTCAGAAGTGCCAAGGTTCATGTATTTTCTTCCTGGGGAGTAGGGAGCCTCTTGCAAACATGAGTACCACTGTCTCACAGCCTGGCTGGGGAACCTCAAACCCCAGTACATGATTTAATGGATACAACATGAAGTGTTTGGATCAGGGGTAGGCAACTAGTGGCCCTCCAGATGGATTGGTTTGGCCAGCCCTAGCTGGCATAGCCAATAGGGAGGGACAATGGGAGCTGCCATTCAAAAGGGTTGGGAGGATCACATTTGGCAGCTCTTGTTTAAATGCTCATCCTGATTAATGGATCCGATTGCATGTATACCCCATTCTACAGCTGGAACGGCTGTCAGAGCACCTGCCGTATCAATGAAAGAAGGCAATCTCTGCTTTAGGGCTCACAGTCTAGAAAAACATGATGTGAGCAGAAAAAAACATCTGGATGCAGAAGGAGAAGAAGGACATTCGGGTACAAATCCTTACTTTCAGGAAATTCCTCAGCCTAGGGCAGTCGTTTCCAACCTTGGGTCCCTAAAAAATGTTCTTGGACTACAACTCCCAGAAGCCAACACCACTAACTGTTCTGGCTTGGATTTCTGGGAGTTATAGTGCAAGAACATCTGGGGACCCCAGGTCAGGAAGCACTGGCTTAGGGGAAGCCTCTGGTGAATGACAGCTGTGAAAGAGACAAATTGTGATGCAGTTAACGCCACTTGGGGGACTACCGGCAGCCCCGGTTTTCCTCTATGTTTCCCTCAGCCTAGTAGAATTGCTGTTGGGTGGCTTTTATGTATCTTGATGACGTTTTGCATGTTTCAAGACCCAGGGACAGGGATAAAAATGCTTCAAGACCTTTTCCCTTGGTCCTTCTCTCCCTTTCTCAGAGAGAAAACAGCAGGATGTGGGAGATCCCTCCCCCCCTCCCCAGGAAATCGGCCTGCCACCTAATTTTGTGGTCTCCTGTTGGCTTTTGTAGGATCCTGGGAATGTTCACATGCCAGCAATGGAAGCACCTCAGCAACGACTTCCTGAAAACCCAGCAAGAAAAGCGACACAGCTGGTTCAAGGCCAGTGGCACCATCAAGAAATTCCGGGCAGGTCTCAGCATCTTTTCACCCATTCCCAAGTACGATTTCACTTCTGTGCCCTCTCCTCTAAATGAGGTTTTGGTTCTTTCCTTATTGCTTATTGTTATAACTAGATGCGTTCACCCAGAGTGGGATCATTGGGTTGGTTGACTCCACAGCCTGGAAAAGTTACTCTTTGGGACTCTACTTCCAGTGCATGCAATGGAATCAAGCTAGTTGGTTACAGTGACTAAGAGGCAAAGCCATGGATCCAGAAATCCCTGGTTCAATGCCCACTTTCTTTATTGGCGTACATTAAATTCAGGGGTACAGTCGCGCCCCGCTTAACGATTGCCTCACTTAACGAGGAAATCGTTTTATGATGAGGTTGCAATCGCAAAACGATGGTCTAAATGGGGGAATTTCACTTAGCAATGATCGGTTCCCTGCTTTGGGAACTGATTTTCGCTTTACGACAATCAAAAACAGCTGATTGTCAGGTTTCAAAATGGCCACTGACTGAAGAAAATGGCCCCCCGCTGTGTTTAGGGACGGATTCCTTGTTGCACAGGCATGGAAAATGACCGTCCCTATGGAGGATCTTTGCTGGACGGTGAGTTTTCAGCCCATTGGAACTCATTAACCGGGTTTTAATGCATTTCAATGGGCTTTTTAATTTTGTTTGATGATGTTTTCACTCTACAGCGATTTTGCTGGAATGAATTAACATCATCAAGCGAGGCACCACTGTACTTGCTTCTGAATATGTAGGCTTAAACTCGTCAGGTTTTTCCAAAAGATCTTCACTTGGCCAAAACACATCCCTGATCTTTGAATTAGAACAGGAAACCATCTGTCAAAGAACTGGGGCTCTTTGAACTGTTAATGTGAAATAGGAATCCCAGGAAGAAAGAGGAAATAAATATCTAGACTCTGCATGATTGTTTCCCTCCTTGGCAGATGGGGTTTACTTGGCTCAGTAACACTAGACTTGAGAACAATCTTGAAATTGTTGTAGATCACACACTGAATATGAGCCAACAGTGTGATGGGGCAGCAAAAAAGGCAAATGAGATTTTAGGCTGCATTAACAGAAGCATAGTTTCCAAATCATGGGAGGTGCTGGTTCCCCTCTATTCGGCACTGGTCAAACCTCATCTTTAGTACTGTGTCCAGTTCTGGACACCACATTTTAAGAAGGCTGCCAAAAAACTGGAGTATGTTCAGAGGAGGGCAACAAGGATGATCACGGGACTGGAAACCAAGCCCTAGGAGGAAAGACGGAAAGAACTGGACATGTATTTAACCTTGAGAAAATGAGAGGAGATCTAATAGCACTTTTCAAAGACTTGGAAGATACAGTGGGGTCTTGACTTAAGAACGGCTTGAGTTAAGAACATTTTGACTTAAGAACCACTCTCATAGGAAAATATTGACTTGACTTAAGTACTTAGATTTGAGTTAAGAAGTGAAAAAAACCCACGTGGGAGGCAGGGAAAGTGCAAAATTTGAACTTTCAGTTAACTGTTGGCCAGTGAAAAGGGTGCCTGTCTGCTTCCTCACTCCTCCCAGCGTTTAGAGAGTGGATTGGGAGACAGTCTTCAGACTGCCTGGTACTGGACTGCCTGGACTGTATTTTCCCTGCCTTCCCTGAACCTTTCTTGACCTAAGAAAAAAAGAAACAAAATATCCCCCTCTAGTGGTCGAAGGCGGAATAGCAGCTTCCCATTAGTTTCTATGGACGGAAAAGAGCAGATACGGATCAAATGGTTTTCAATGCATTCCGATGGGAAATGCAGATTTGACTTGAGAACTTTTTGACTTGAGAACTGCCTTCCAATACGGATTAAGTTCTCAAGTCAAGACCCCACTGTAGTTGTAAAGAGGAGCAACAGCATCTGTTCTCGATCATTCCAGAGTGTGGGACATGTAATAATGGGGAGAATCATGTATACTGCCTTGAGCTTATTGGAGGAAAAGAAGGATATAAATGTAACAATAAGAACAATGATAATATTAAAATATAGCAGCATGTTTTAGAACTTGCTCTCTAAGAGTAACTTATGAATCAGTGTTTGGTTGACCCCTAACCAGCATTTTGTGATTTATTTATTTATTGGTGGCTTGATCCAAGAAGGCCACCCACCATATTGGGCATCATCCATCCTTGAAGGCCTAGTTCTGCCAAATCTAATACAGAGAACAAGGACTGCCCGAGATATTTTGTGGGTTGAGGCAAAGTCAAAAAGGTGGCCCTCTGATTTCACATGTACAGAAACCAGCCAGATGGGCAGCTGAATTCTGTTTTGGCTCTGGAAACAGGGGCAAGATCCGTCACCAGACCTCAGGCAGCCGGTGAGTTTAGGGCCTGCAAGACAGACTGTGTGGCAGATGTGGCTTTGTCCTCTGATGGAGAGAAATGACATAGGGGCTCAGGAAGAACAGTTAAGGATGCTGCCCCCCTTGTCCTCCTCGAGGATGTACTCTTTGAGGTTGTTGCCTCCTTTTGTCCAAGGGTAGGACTGAGTTTTGCAGAGAAAGTTCCGAAAAGGCATGCGAATAACTGGCCTTTCGTAGTTCCAGGAGAGGGATCCCTCATGGCTGATCTCTGCTTGATCCCCTAGGTCTCCCAGCTTTCCCGTGATCCAGGACTCCATGCTGAAGGGCAAACTCGGAGTGCCGGAGTTGCGGGTCAATCGCCTCATGAACCGCTCCATCTCCTGCACGATGAAGAACCCAAAGGTGGAAGTGTTTGGCTACCCTCCTAGCACCCAGGCAGGTGTCGCGCCATTCAACATCCTGGTGGGTTTCCTCTCTGCCCTTGTCCCTTGGGGGGTTGGCCTGTGGAGGGTTTTCTTCGTGTGGCTGTTGATTGTGCTCCCCTCCTGTTAGTCATAGTCATAACCATGTCAGATGATCTAGAACCGTGGTTCCCAACCTTAGGTCCCCCCTTGGGTCAATAGTCCCCCATGATTGGGGACTGCTGACCTGGGAGAATCTGATGGTGGAGAACTGGGGTCATGGTACATGAGACTGCAGCTGGGGGGGGGAGGGAAATCCAGTGCTTCTGGATATAAAACCACTTATACCACAACAAAATACTCTCTGCATGTAGAAAAATAGCATCTCAAGGAGAATCCTGGGCAAAACCTTGACATGCTAGCTTTCTCTGCATTTTTCAAAATGTTCGGTATAGGAACAACAGTCAGATGGGATCTGTTGCTTGCAGGCAGTGTGTTGCTGTGGAACTTATAATTCAGCATCAACTGACTAGAATCTGCTGTGCAGAGAGGAGAAACATTTTCTCAGACTACAACTCCCAGAATCCTGTAGTTAGCTTAGCCGCTGCGGTGCTGGATTCTGAAAACTGGGATTTTAAAAAGGGAATGTTTACCATCTTTGCTGCTGTGATTACTTTTCATCAGTATTTGAGACCTACTGTCTCTCTTATCAACGGACTAGAAAATGTCCTTTGTTCTCAAGCTGGAGCCAGAAATGGCTCAACTCGCCAAAGCTTCTCATTTTCTCTTTTTGGGATTCCAGCTATATGCAAGAGGGGTACATTCAGCTGGCTGGCTTTGTAAAGCTAGATGTTTTGGACTGCAAGTCCCGTTAGCCGCAGCTAACAATACCAATGGTGAGGGATGGGGGGGAATGCAGTCTAGCTGGAAGGCACCAGATCAGGAAAGGCCATAAATATCAAAGGAAAACTGGGGACTGCCTTAAACTGGGTTGGACCATATATCTATTTAGCTGAGCATTGCCGATTTAAAGGAAGTAAGGATTCTTCAGGCAGAAAGTGCTTTGTCTTACTTGTGTGACAATGCCACCTTTCCCAATCGGATGGTCTCCAGATGTTTTAGATGGCAACTCCTATATCCCTCATGGTGGTAGCTGGGGCTGGCGGGAGTGAGGGCCCAAAACATCTGGCTTGCCTGAAGTTCTGCATGAAGTTGTGATCCCAGGGATTGAATCTGGGCCTTCTATGTGTGAGACTACGTAGTATTTCACCCCTGGGTATGGTCCCTCCCATTTTCTCCTTCTTTATATATATATATATGGTAGTCCTTGTAGTACCACTTAAGGATTTAATTTTAACAGTCTGCCCCACCAGTGACATCCTTGGGATTGGAGGTGGGCACAAACTGGCAAGACGAAAAAAACCGGGGTGGTTCATGGCTACCCCCGAATCCTGGACAAACAAACCAATTCGTGGCTTGTTTTTCCAGTTTGGGCCTGGAGTTAGGGGAACCTCACATTTCCACGCCTTCTGGTGTTCGCCCACGGCCTTCCCACTGCTGCAGCCACTTCCCTGTCAGGTCCTGCGGCCATCTGCAGTGCCAGCAGCCTGGCTTCCTTTCCGGGAATGTATGCCCGTCATCCCTCTTGCCAAAGCAAAACGAAGCGCTGGGTAAAAGAAAGTTGGGCACATTTGCTTCATTTGGGCAAAATGGCTCACATTCACTGAACTCCAGATTGTACCATGAACCAGGTTGGGTTTGTGCTTTCCCCCGGTTTGTGCCCATCTCTGCTTGGGACATATCCCATTACTGCTCCTCTCTCTAGATACTGGGAAGTTGGCTCGGAAATTCTCTAGGGAGAGAGAATGACCAACTACGCCAGATCTTCAGTCTTCTGAGCAGTGGCCCCCAGAGATGTGAATCGGATCAAACTCCCATTTCCTCCAGCCAACGAGGGGCATAGCTAAGGGGATAATGGAAGGGGTCATCCCTCTTGCCAAAGCAAAACGAAGTGCTGGGTAGAAGAAAGTTGGCCACATTTGCTTCATTTGGGCAAAATGGCTCACATTCACTGAACTCCAGATTGTACCATGAACCAGGTTGGGTTTGTGTTTTCCCCCGATTTGTGCCCATCTCTCTAGATACTGGGAAGTTGGCTCGGAAATTCTCTAGGGAGAGAGAATAACTGCTTTCCCTTACCAACTATGCCAGATCTTCAGTCTTCTGAGCAGTGGCCCCCAGAGATGTGAATCGGATCAAACTCCCATCTCCTCCAGCCAACAAGGGGCATAGCTAAGGGGATAATGGAAGGGGTGATGTCCGGAATCCATGCAGGACCATAGATTTCCCATTTCTTATCTAGAGAGATGACAGAACGCTTGTGCACCAGGATCTTGATAGGAATCAAAATGGCATGAGGTGGGGGGATTTGTTCGGAGGGGCTTCCGCATGGACGTTGCGTAGTGTCATGGAAGCCACTCTGGATGACTCCGCGATCTTTGCCAGAGATTTGCATGCAAAAAAGCAATGTCTCCTATGAGAGATGAATGGACAGATGCTGAGTAATGTGGCTGGATTCTCTCCTTGTCTTGTTCTCTGTAGGTTGGCAGTCACTGCAAAAACATTCCCACCTTGGAGTATGGATTCCTTGTCCAGGTCAGCAGCCTACGTTTCTAGGCAAAGCCTGGAAAAATTATGCTTTTGTTCTGTAGCTCTCAGAATCCCACAGCCAGGATGATCAGGAGGTTTGGGGCACCTTGACGCTGGTGACGGGGTCTAAGCCAGCAGGGTCAAGTATAACAGATGTGGCCTCTTTTTCCAGTCTCTCTTTCTTCCACTTCCTTCTCCCTCCTTCTTTCCTCCACTCCTTTGTTTCATTCCTTCCCTTGACACCAGTGGTTTCCATCCTTGGGTCCCCAGATGTTCTTGGACTAACCCCCCCCCCAAATCCTGGCCAGTCCAGCTAGGGGTGAAGGCTTCTAGGAGTTTTAGTCCTAGAACATCTGGGGACCCAAGGGTAGGAACCGCTGCTTTACATAATTTGCTTCCTCCCTCTGTTTTTTTAAAAAAAATACCTTTGTCTCCTTCGTCTTCCCATTATCCCTCTCGTTCTCTCTCTTTCCGGGCCACCGCCTTTCCCATTATCTCTCGCCTCCTCTGCTCACCATCCAGCTCACTCTTGACAGTGGTCTAAACCCACTGAGGGCTGACATTAGACCCAGGTGCACATGAAATGAAGCCTGAAGTTGCTGGTCTGTAATACAGTAGGATCACCTTATCCCTAGGGATCGACTCCACGGCCCCTCCACAGATGCTGAAAAATATGGAAGTGTTAGAATGCTAATGATCGCATGGTCTCTGCCTCCCACTAGTGAACAGTTCTGTTAAATACACCCTGGAAATACATATAATTGCACCTTTGTGTGTGTGTGTGTGTGTGTCCTATTGTATATCCCAACTTGCAGTGGCTTGTGTAGCCTATTCTCCCACAGGTGTAAGGTACACCTTCTAACCCAGGTGTGATGGCCTTCCCTTTCATTCAGATTATGAAGTATGCTGAGCAAAGGATTCCGACGCTGAATGAATACTGTGTGGTATGCGATGAACAGCACGTCTTCCAGAATGGATCCATGCTGAAGGTACCGTGCCCTTTCTGAAGCACTCACCTTTCTGTTGGCTAGTACAAAAGAAAAGAACAGGAAGAGCTCAAAAAAGTTCCCCCTTTTGGCTGATGGCTCCCAGAATCCCCCAGCTAGCGTGGCTACTGGTCGCGCTTGCTTTTAGGATTCAGGAACGTGTGGTCTGAAAAGGAAATTTCCCCAGGTCTGTAGTTAGGGAAAGCTGACTGGATAGCTCAGTGGTTGAAAGAACTGACTGAGGAGCTGGAGGTTGAGAGTTTGATTCCCTCCTGTGCCTCCAGAGAGAAGAGCCAGCCTGGGTGGCCTTGGGCAAGCTGCACAGTCCCAGGGCGCCCCCTATAGGAAGGGAATGGTGAACCACTTTAGAGTATCCTTTGCCTGGAAAATCTGAAAAAAAGGGGGGTGTAAGTCAAAATGGACTTGATGCTACATGATTATTATTGTATTCACGAAGGCTTTCACGGCCGGGATCTAATGGTTGTTGTGGGTTTTTTTGGGCTTCTTGGCCATGTTCTGAAAGTGGTTCTTCCTAACGTTTCACCCGTCTCTGGCTGGCATCTTCAGAAGATGCCAGCCACAGAGACTGGCGAAATGTTAGGAAGAACCACTTTCAGAACACGGCCAAGAAGCCTGAAAAACCCACAACAACCATGATTATTATTTATTATACTGTAGTTAGGAAAGGTGTGCATGGATTTTCTCACCTGAGAAGAACCTGAGGTCAAGATTTATTGACCTCAGGATTCTTTCTTTAGATAAAAGAACTGGGTAGAATCTGAGTTGTGGACAAGGGGGGGTCTTGCCTTTGTTTCTTTGCATTAAAAAGAGAACAGAGAAGGTAAAGACCATGCTAATGAAATGTGGGACCGAGAAGAGCCGTTGTTGAGCAGTTAAGCAGGACTAGCCCTATCCTTGGGTTTGATCCAGAGTGGCCCTTTGTATCCGTGCATCAACCATGAAAAGCAGCAGCTGAAGATGGCTTTAGACAACAATCTTGAGTTTTCTTTAAGCAGAAGATGATGGGGACTGGAGCATGAGCCTTCTGCATGCATTTCAGAGGATGTCTGCCAGCCTCTCCATGATGAAGTCAAAAGAGCCGTTTACTGGCATGCTGCTTTCTCACTACCCTTGCGGGCTTTCTCCTTCTCTAGCCAGCTGTGTGCACGCGGGAACTGTGCGTCTTCTCTTTCTACACTCTGGGTGTGATGTCCGGTGCTGCAGAAGAAGTGGCCACAGGGGCAGAGGTAAGAATGTTGGGATGTCAGACTTGGAAAGGAGACGGGTAACAAACAGAAGGGCTGAATTCAATGGATGGATAAAAAGTTATCTTGGACTTTCTTTAGAACTTTCACTGTTTGCGGCTGAATGATGGGGACAAAGCACTTTTCAGTGGCAGGCTTTTGAAATACAGTAGAACCCCTATGCCCCTAGGACAGTGGTGGTGAGCCTTTCTGGAGCTCGCATGTCCAAACTGAAAACAACAACAAAACAACCCAGCTGGCGGCGTGCCGCTGTGGCAGAAGGGGGAATCCCAGGCCCAGAGGTGCCTCGAGACTCCACTCTGGATCTGCCGCCAGTGTCAGCTGCTCCAGATCCACCCGTCAAAGCGCCAGTACTGGGGCTGCAGACGCCTCCTGCGGTTTGGCTGTGTGTGTGTGTGTGAGAGAGAGTAGCGATCTGGTGACTTATGGCTCGTGTGCCCACAGAAAGGGCTCTGCGTGCCAGCTGCGGCACGTGGGCCATAGGTTTGCCATTGCTGCTATAGGGGATCTGTTCAAAGCCACCTTGTGGATGCTGAAAAACGCGGATTATAGCAAACACTATTTTAATAGTCAATGCTATACAGTGGTGCCTCGCTTAAC